GTATCCACCTCCCCCCCCCCGCACTGGGCGGTGACTGGCCCCCGGGGGCCGCTATGAGGTTATTACTGTCAGTCAGTTACCTGAAGGTTTCTTCTCCTGCATGTTGTAAATATCGCCGCTTTAACTACTGCGCATGCGTCAACACCGCCGCTTTAACTACTGCGCATGCGTCAACACCGCCGCTTTAACTACTGCGCATGCGTCAACACCGCTGCTTTATCTACTGCGCATGCGTCATCGCCGTGTTAGCTATTGCGCATGCGTGTACATAATTCAGCCGGTTTGTTACCGCCATCTAGCGGCTGAATGCGGTATTTGTGTTATTGTCGCCATCTAGCGGCTGAATGCGGTATTTGTGTTATTGTCGCCATCTAGCGGCTGAATGCGGTATTTGTGTTATTGTCGCCATCTAGCGGCTGAATGCGGTATTTGTGTTACTGTCTCCATCTAGCGGCTGAATGCGGTATGTGTTATTGTCGCCATCTAGCGGCTGAATGCGGTATTTGTGTTATTGTCGCCATCTAGCGGCTGAATGCGGTATTGGTGATTTTTGTGATAATTACAACCTTCCATGACCGTTATTGTCCCAGTGAGTCCTTGTAGTAAAGAGAGTGAGTGAAACATTGTTACTCCGTCTCTCCCAGAGATACAAAGTAACTAGGTCAATACTCCGAGCAGGAGGCACTGCCACGCGGATGGAGAGTTAGGAAGGGTCACGTTCCAAGCGCAGAGCTGGAATACACCCATTATTAGAGCAGTCAAGTTTAATTTGTCAGAGTCTGCGCAGAGCGGCGTCTGTTTACACAAAATACCATCTGACTGCATTAATGGGGGAGTGCGGCCACCAAGTCTGGAAGACGTAGAATTAATAGGTAGCGGAACTGTGAACAGACCATATCGCTCCAGTAGTAGAGTCTAGGGAACACACTATGGGTGGGAATGTTAATTACAGTTCAAGTACAAACTGCTCCCACAGTGGCCTGCATCTCCTTCGGGGCTACCCCTAAAACAAAGAGAGTTCTACTGCTTTGTTTTACACAGTAAAAATTTTTAATAAAAAAAAAAAAAAACCCTAACAGGTAGTCACTGTGTAAGCTGATTGTATGCTTTTCCTGTTCAGCTGCTTACAGCATTCATATGCTTGAGAGCATTCGTATGCTTCTCCGGTTCGGTGGTTGTGGTGTCTGCTGCAGTGCTTGGAGTCCTCAGGAAGCGCTAGGAGCATCCTTCAACTGAGGTACCCAGTCGGGGTGCCAGGTGATCCATTACACCCAACAAATCATACAGACCTGTGAGGCCATACATCTTACACACCCACAATGCCAAATGGGAGCCAACGCTCTTACAGTCAGTCCAGTATAGAAGGAATCCGCTTATCCCCCAGGGACCCAAGAGACGGTGCTTAGCCAATACTTTGGCTTTTGTATATACTCCCACACCCATTCCTTGTACTAACCTACCTGTTTTTATACTGTTGCACTTGCAATCCTTTTTTGCTATTTTATCTATTACCCTTCCAAGGCCAAGTGGGTGGCCTAAGAGTTGCATCCCAAGCCAATGCTTGGACAAGTGCCTCTGGGTGGCTACTGAACTCTTCTCCATAGGCTCAGGGGGAAGAGCAGCTCGGGGAGTAATCTTGCTTGACTTCGCTGTGAAAGATGGCTCCTCTTTTGAAGACATACTCTACAACCAAATATTGTAAGTTTCCTCTCACTGAAACCACCATGAGAATAATTAGCCACAATGTTCGAGGACTGAATCTCCTGGTAAAAAGTCACCACTTATATAGAGACCTTAGGCAACAGAAGGCGGACGTTGTCTGCTTGCAGGAAACCCATTTTAAAACAAACGCTCACCCAACACTGCACAACCAAGAATATCCTCAACAGTTTCACTCCACTTCACCCACAAAATCCAAAGGCGTATCCATACTGATCAGCAGACATATAGCTGTAGACCTAAAAACACAAGATATAGACGAAGAAGGAGGTTACATCATACTAGAAGGTATATTAAATAATATTAAATAAATACATGATAGTAAACATATATGAGCCTAATGTGGAGCAAAGAAATTTCCTCCACAAGATACTACACAAAGGTCCAACAAGGAATAGTAGTGATATGCAGAAATTTCAATCATATACTGGCCCCACACCTGGACAACTCAGTGACATCCAACAGACTCAGATACCACACACTGAAAAGACAATGCTGAGCAATCCAAAAATTACTGGCCACACACAACCTTTAAGAAGTATGGCGAGTGACACACACTGGAGATAGAGAATACACCCACAACTAGGCGGTACATAATACATATTCCAGAATAGACAGGTTTGTGGTAACGGGGTACACTCTTGACCAGGTGGAGGGGTGTAGTGTAGGGCCAATGATTTGGTCTGACCATGCGCCGATTTCCATAGAATTAAAAGATGTATGCGACTTCAAGAATCGAAGACTAAATGAATCATTACTACATGACTCCAGGTTTACTGACCACCTTACTGAGGACCTCAATCACTACTTCACATTGAATGATACATCTACTACACCACAGCACACGATCTGGCAGGCTCACAAAGCAGTTATGCAGGGATGGTTGATACAAACTGCATCCTACATACACAAACGCTCCACAACCCAGCTACTTGAGTGGCAGACTAATCCAGGATCAACCAAATCCAACCCATGAGAAGCAGGATCCGATCACGACCATCACCAGACAAATACACACGCATGCCCTCAACAAAGTGGGATACGATTTGAGAAAACTGAGAGCATCCCATTATTCTCAGGGGAATAGGAAACAACTCAAAAAATAGCAAATCTTGTATCTCACAATGGGGCCAAACTGCTCTCTGGTTTCCATTGGAAACAAATTTTCTGAAAACTACTCTCGACTATATAACCTGCGACTGGACAGGGATAACCCGCAACCCCAAGACACAAACATTAACGCATATCTGGACGGAATTGCCTTGCCCAAGCAGACTACCCTTTCGACACCCATTACGGAGGAAGAAGTCCTCTTAGTCATAAAATCCCTCGCTAAAGGTAAAGCCCCAGGGCCAGACAGGTTTTTGAACTCTTACTACAAACAATTCGAAAACTTGCAAAGTTGGCTAACCTATTCAACGACGCTGACGCGAAAGGTTTACTCCCATCTGATATTTTATTAGCCCATGTAGTGACTCTCCCAAAACCTGGCAAGCCCCCGAACTGCCCTCAAAATTTCAGGCCAATCTCCCTATTGAATTCTGATGCAAAAATATTCGCTAAACTCTTTGCATTGGGACTTCAACCCATCCTACCAACTATCATCCACAATAATCAAGTGGGGTCCACGAAAGGGAGACAGGGGTCCGACAATACGAGAAAAGTTCTTAACCTAATGCAAAGTATAACCCGTCTCCACCAAACAGGGCTCCTTTTAGCACTAGGTGCGGAGAAAGCCTTTGACAGGCTGCACTGGGGCATTCTTAACGCGGTGCTTTGGAAATTTGGACTTTCTGAAACATTCCTATCCGTGGTAGCAGCATTATATTCCGCACCTGCCGTGAAGTACTTAACGTGAGATTCCTGTCGGATCATTTCAATATCACTAACAGAACCAGGCAGGGATGTCCCCTTTCCCCACTCCTATATATCATGGCCCTGGAACCACTGGTGGAGATATTTTGCACGAATACTTCTATCCATGGGGTGCGCATAGACACTAAGGAATATAAAACAAACCTTTTTGCCGACGACATAGTCTTAATGTGAACGCAACCCAGTGGGGTATCCTGGTTTTGTGCTGCGCTAGGCAGGACAAAACTCAGGCGTCCCCCCCACCCCGCCTTCTAAATACACACACATTCACTGACAGATAGGCATACACTAGCTAACAGAAACACCCTCACACTAACAGACACACACAGTCAGACACACACACTAACAGACACACAGTCAGACACACACACACACTAACAGACACAGACTAACAGACACAGACTAAAAGACACACACACACAAACACACAGACTAACAGACACAGACTAAAAGACACAAACACACAGACTAACAGACACACACACTAACAGACACACAGACATTCACACACACTCACTCACATTAACACATTTTTTATTATTATTTAAGCCCCCTTACCTTTGGGAATGCTAGGGGGGTTCTTTTTCTCCCTGGGGGTCCAGTGGCTGCTGGACGGTCGGGCGGCTGGCGAGGGAGCACTTCCTTTGAGCTGTCTGCTCAGCTCCCTTGCGCACCGCCTGCAGAGTGAGGCTGGGAGCCGGAATATGACATCCCCATGAGGAAGTGCTCCCTCGCCAGCCGCCTGACTGCCCAGCAGCTAACCCATCAGCTGGACCAGCAGCCAGCCCATCATGTCAAGGCTAACAAGACATTTGCCCTGGGCGTTTGGGGTGGCTTTTTTTGCCGCCCCTTGGAAAATGCCGCCCAAGGCAAATGCCCACTAGAATATACAGTTAAGTGGATTATCCCTCCGTGCAGCAGAACGGATATTTCACATTAATATCTATAACTTTCACATTATTCACTCTATTTAAACGAATGGACGTTCGGTAGATAGCTGGGGTCTGGGCGTAGAGTTCGTGAGAATACCGCTCAGATCCCAGCATAACTAAACGAACACCGCGTGACACACACATTATATTCAAGTTACATTCAAAGTACCGATTGACATTAGGGGAACAAACTACCGAATGCCCAGGGCTCCCGAACGGCTTGGAAGTCCAGCGGTATTCGTGCCGTCAAGTAGCCGATTTTAGTTCCAGGCGCTCGACGACCAAATACCGCTGGGCTAACAAAGGATCCAAGATGGCCGACCGCCACGTGGTCGGTAGCCGAACTACGGCCACCTAGGAAAGCCCTTAACTACTGATTGCAACAATGTTGCAATCGGTTAATGGGCGCCACACGACCTCCTGTGTGTGGTCGCCCATTCGGTAGTTTATTTGTTTCATGAACAGTGTTGAAATTCACTGTTTGTGAAACTACGGTATGAATGCTGGTGGCTTTCATACCGCCAGCATACGAATGCTCTTGTTCGCCTGAAATAGAGATATCTGAATACACTTGGTTCTAACCGCCTTAAAGCTATAGAAACACATTTATACGAATACAGTCTTAAGTGGCTAGTTTTGCCACACACATTAAACTACTGACCACGTGAGACTCTTACTCACTGGCCAGCCCCATATAAAGAATACATATTACCAGCCCCACCTTTGACTACACTACGTGGCTCAATCACTAGTGCACTCATGTACACAAATTATAGAACAGTGGTGGCGAACCTATGGCATGTGTGCCACAGGTGGCACGCCGCGCCCCCTCTGTGGGCACGCGGCCATAGGTCGCCGTGCGCTCCGCCGGCGCATCCATAAGGCGGCACAAGTGGCCGCCTTAGGGCGCACCGGCCCGGCGGGCGCAAAGCCGGAGTGACCGGCAGGAGGTGAGCGCATAGCCCTCCCTGCCAGGCACTCTGTGTAGCGTGGCCGAGCGCGCCGCGGTATTTCCTGTACCCGGGCGGACGGAAATGAAGTGCTCACAGAGAGAGCACTTCCTGTCCGCCGGGTACAGGAAACTGAGCTCCGCGGTGCGCTCGGCCACGCTACAAGGTAGGAGACTGAGGGAGAGAGGAGGGGGGGTGGGGAAAGACTGAGGGAGAGATTGGGGGAGAGGAGACTGAGGGAGAGATTGGGGGAGAGGAGACTGAGGAGAGATTGGGGAGGAGGGAGACTGAGGGAGAGATTGGGGGTGGGGAGACTGAGGGAGAGATTGGGGGGAGACTGAGGGAGAGATGGGGGGGAGACTGAGGGAGAGATTGGGGGAGACTGAGGGAGAGATGTGGGGGGAGGGAGACTGAAGGAGAGATGGGGAGGGAAGGAGACTGAGGGAGAGATGGGGGAGGGAGAAGGAGACTGAGGGAGAGATGGGGGGAGGGAGAAGGAGACTGAGGGAGAGATGGGGGGGAAGGAGACTGAGGGAGAGATGGGGGGAGAAAACTGAGTGTGGGATGGGAGAAAAAAATGAGGGAGGGATGGGGGAAAAGAAAACAGGGGGGGAGAGGGGGGACGACATACACACAGCACCCCTGCCCTACACATATCACCCCACAAAAAGACACACACACACACCACACACCACCCCCCCACACACAAACACCCCACCCACACACATCACTCCACCCACAAACACATACACTGTACCCCTCAATGCAGTGTGTGTACACTCAGCAGTCTGTCTGTGTGTGTACACTCAGCAGTCTGTCTGTGTGTGTACACTCAGCAGTCTGTCTGTGTGTGTGTCTGTGTGTGTGTACACTCAGCAGTCTGTGTGTGTGTGTATTTAGCAGTCTGTGTGTGTATTCAGCAGACTGTGTACTCAGCAGTCTGCTAAATACAGACAGACTGCTAAGTACACAGACAGACTGCTAAATACACATACAGACAGACTGCCGAGCACACACACAAACTGCTTAATACACACACAGAGATGTTAATTAGTTCGGACAACTGTATGAGTTGTTTTTTCTAAACTTAAACCTCAGTATTCAGGTTTAAATGCCGTTTTGGCACTTTGAGGGGGAAAAATTGGCATGTATTACGGTTTGGGCACTCGGGCTCAAAAAGGTTCGCCATCACTGTTATAGAACAATAACTCCCTATGGGAGTTCCTTGGCCTCCAGGCCCAATTAAAGTTGCCACCCCAAGCTCTTTTTTTTTTTCCTATCTCCAACTCAAATCCACTCTAAAACACACGTCCAGTACACTATCGAACCCACATTTGAAAATATGTGCCTCAAAGCCAATGACCAGAAAAAAATAATAAATAAACTATCTACGATATACAACACTCATAACTCAACAAACACTACTGTGACGAACTGGACCTCGTCACGGGTTCTTGGAGGGGCATACTTGCCAGTCTCTTACCCACAAACTATTGATCCTGTAAATCCCTATAAAAGTCTCAGTTTGTCTATTTGAATTATATGGTTCGGTAACTGAGCAGCCGCATGAACCGGAGACCACCCTGGAGCTTGTTAAGCTTAATTGATAGACCACTGCGGTGAAAATTGCAACAATCTAAGAGTTCGTCTGGGTGGCCGCAATTCCTATGGATGACCACGAGGTGGCGGCCATCTTGTTTGCATGGACCAAAATCGCAAATAGACTTCAGGGGGACTTAGCCTGCGAATGCCATGGAACTATTTTCGATATGTTGGTCACGCAGATCAGGGCTATCAGGGGATGTAACATTTCTGGTGATATTGTGTGTTTTGGGGTACTTTTCAGACTTTTTAGAATTAGGTGGGGTTTTTTTGCCTTGAGATAATTGAATTGATACAGTAGCTGACTCAATTATCTCCCAAGCAGAGAGGAAGGATTGTAAGTTTGTTTTGGGAGTGTAGTGCATTTAATAACTGTTCTTAATGGTCTGTGTGACGACAGCAATCTCGCCACATTGCATTGGAGAAGCCTGGTTGCTCGCCTGCTGCCTTTGGATTATGGCCCCATGTTAAAAGACTTTGTTTCCCCTGCAGAAAAGACTTATTCGTGCTTTTCTGCCCGGTGTTCGGTAGATTCGATCTACCGAACAACCGCATGAATGACTAGACCACCTGGGAGCTGGAGTGTGCCAGCAATTAGCCTCCCAGAAGCTGCGGTTAACCACAGCTTAATTGACGAATACTGGGTGGCCGCCATTCGTATACCGAACACGCGAACGCACAGCGGTGTTCGACGCTTAACTCATGGAACTAAAAACGGACACAGTTTGGTGTGAACACCGCTGAAGCCGCCGACCTCCCTTCTTGTTCGGTGGAAGTACCTGACTGCACTATACCCCAGATAAGAATCCCATGGAGCTCATTCGTATGAGAACTGACTTTGTAAAGACTTTGGCTCCATGGAGATTAAATTGTATTCGTGTGGTCTGAGCGCCATTTGCTTAATATTGTGCGCTCAGACCTGAGCTATCTGGGGATATGTTAAATGTATAGTTTTATTGTAACTTATGTCATATAGTGTGTTTTAATAGTAATTCCTGTATTGGTATCCCTACGTGCATAATGGCGATTTGGCTTTGTCCTGGGAGATAATTGAATTACTTCTCAATTATCTCCAGGGCAGAGGGGAGGAAGCCAGGATGCATTGTGGGAATATAATGTGACTGTGTGTCCTATTTTGCTGATTGTCTTTTGTCACAGTCTCCCATTTGGTCCCCTAGGGGAGTGTCCACCAGGTGGGAGACCTGCATAAATACTGGACAGGTAGCCCTCATTAAACCCGACCACTGCTTGACCCACAACACGGAGCCTTGTCTCGTCTTTGGGGGGGATTTACTGAATGCTGATAGAGAGAGACTGATTGCTAGGAGTGTAAGCCGCTTGGATGCTTTTCCTATTCGTCTGCTAGCAGGTATTCGTATGGTTCCAGTTCGTGAGTTTGGAGCATTCCCTTACATGCGGTTCGTGAGTTTGGTGTTCTACAGTAGCTGTGCCTGCATCTCTGAAAGGGGACGATCGCCTAAACGGTTTAACCCCTTGTGTGCTGAAACGGTCCGTTACAGTCTGTGTCTTTGTATTGGATTCCCCAACAAGATCCATATGTGTGGACCCCCTGCATGGGGACTGTCATAAAAGGCCAGTGTGGTGCCATTAAAATTCAGTATTACATTAGCTTCAACACAGAGTCTTGTCTCTTGTTGTAGGGAACTGCTATACAAGCTATACCAGCTATTATCCCTAATCCTGGGATTGCTCTTTGGATTACTACACTGGCTATAATCACTAGCTCTTATAAGAGCTACACAGCCAGACCTGCTATGCTCTCTAGAGGAGGAGCTGGATCCTGGTCTTGGGTCCAGGGTGGGTGGAGGACGGCGAGACCCCAGCCAAGCTGCGGCAGCTAAGGGGTACAGTGCTGATGGTGTCTGGTGGAGTGCTTGGAGAACTCTGGGAGCACTAGGAGCATTGATTGATGGAGGCACCCTTTCGGGGGGTGCCAGGCGGTCCGTCACAACTACCCCACACATTTATGACAGAGTGGCATAAATCTCAACACCACGTTCTCTGACGCACAAGGGCAAGAGGCATTTCTAGCACATAAAGGCAACACAGCATGCATGTCACACATAGAACTATTATGGAAAATCCAATACAGATGGTACTATGTGCCGGAAAAGCTAGCACTTATGTTCCAAGGCACATTAAAAGGTATGCTAGAAATGCAGGGGAGAGTTGGGTACGATGCTCCACATTTGGTGGACATGCCCTGCCATTACCAGTTACTGGAAAACGGTACAGGAGATACTGGCTAAGGCCTTGTCCCGAGAGTGCACCCTATCACCTGGTCTGGGCCTGCTGTTTATGGGACTTGGGCAAAATGGGCTGACTGACCGTAAGCTCTTCTTATTTCACACACTCATAGCGGCTAACACCCAGATAGCCCGGGGATGGAAGTCAACGGCAACCCCCACAAGGGATGCCCTATTAAGCCAAAGTGGGATGCATTGGGAATATGAGGTAATGGCATGTACACAGATTAGGAGGGGCAGAATCACCAAATAAGGAGGGGAAATATGGAAACAAAAATGGGGCAGTGAAGCTCCAGAAAAAAAACTTAAAAGAAAAAAAAGAAATAACGCCTGCCAGACACCAATGAATCCCACGTTTGGACTAATTGTAACACTTCCTGCGAGCGGACACCTAGCCTACATGCATAATCAAGAGATTGAGATCAGTCCATAGCAATATTAAATCCGTTAACCAAAAAGTTGGCCGCTCTCCTCCTCCAGAGCACAACTGCACTCTCTGGGTTACCAAATAGCATATTCGGAGATACCACTGACTCCCCCCAGAGAAACACTCAACTGATATCCAAATGCGCTTACTTTCTGTACCAAGGACTACTACAAGGGCATTTCACATACAAGACTAGCATCCGCATATATATGTTTCGGATCGCCTGGTACCCAGACTGGGTACCTCCACCAGTCATGCTTGATAGCTATCCCTGGGGCACACCATGGACACCATAAGTACTGTAGCCCCATAGCCGCCGGAGCTTGGGGTCTCGCCTTCTCCGTCCAACCTCGACCCAAGTCCTGTATCCAGCTCCCAGTGGGTAGAACTCTCCTCCAGGGAGTATAACAGGTATAGCAGTGATTATAGTCATTATAGCTGTGACAAACCCGTCTGAGTTTGTCCGAGTTCCTGGAGGAGCCTGCTTGCCAGCCTCCTGCCCACAGACTATGGACCTTGTAAAATTTGAGTTAAAAGTCTCTGTTCGTGAATTTGGACTATGTGGTTCGAGAACCGAACAACCGCACGAACTGGAGACCACCGTGGAGCTTGTTAAGCCTAATTGCTACATAGTAACAATTTCCACCTCAGTGTTCTAAGTGTTCGTCTGGGTGGCCGCAATTTCTATGGATGAACACAAGGTGGTGGCCATCTTGTTCGCACGAACGCAGGCAGCGATGTTTGGGCATGAATCTCATGGAACTAAAAATCGGACACACAAACTCCCGAACACCGCTGGACTTCCATCATCGCCTGCATTCAGTTCTACACACGTTAGAAGAGCACTGTTCGGTGGAATCATTGGTCTGAACAAGGGGAACAAGCTTCAGGGTAAGACCATTGACTATGTTCGGTAGTTTGTTAATTTTTAAACTACCGAACTAGACCGACCATGTTAAGGTTGCCTCAGGCTAGCTGAGAGTTGGACCGCTTGGATGTCCTTGTCCCCGATCCTGGAGAGCGGTAAGAAGTTCCAATTCAGCACCTAACGATCTTCCTGCAAGTGTAAAGTATTCCTGGAGCTCTGAGCAGAGCTAGTGATCAGCATTTCCCTACAACACAAGTCGAGGCTGCGAGGTGAGGGTAAGAAGTCTGGTTTATTGAACAGAAAGGCATTGCTTATATACACATTTTCAGGCCATGGGGCACACCCCTCTGGACCTGATGGAACACAGTGTTACAAGGGACATAAACCAATCAGAATAAAGTGCATCTTTCTGAACCCTCCCCGCTATCCTGGAGATAATTAGCTTAAGTGGTTACAGTAACTTAATTATCTCCAGGTACGGGAAATATTCTGGAGGTGAATATATAACGAAAACCACATAAAAATACATAACTCATATAATAAAGTATTTAACCTATATGTCAAACATATCCCCAGATAGCTTCAGGAGGAGTTAACCCTAGCAGATAATGATTAATTACTACTCTAGGGTTAAGGGTGATGGAAGTTTGCACCCAGACCACTTCAATGAGCTGAATTGGTCTGGGTGCCTACAGTGTCAGTTTAAGACAGTGTGCTGGGCCTCTCTGCAGTGTACAGGTAGCCAGGGGCCTGCAGGTGCATATATATATATATTACAAATGATCTTGATAAAGACCTCTTGGGTTGAAACCTTGATCGCTTGAATAACACATTTAACTTTGAAAAATCCAGCAAGTGCTGTCTTTGTTTATTTCTACTATACTGCACACCGTGCAGCACCATGGTCTATGGAATTTTCGTTACTTTAAAAGGTAGAGTGCCAGATTCCTCCTATTTGTGTATATATATCTCCATATATATATCCATGTTAAATTAAAATCTGCACACCAGTCAAGCCATAAGACTTGCTTTTCCCACAGAAATCCCAAAACTGCAGCGATGTTACCACCGCAAAGGATTCTGGATGGGCATGTAGCGGAGCGGCAATATTAAATCCCACGATCTCCGCTGGTAAAGAAGGTAATCCACAGTCAAGCGCTGAAAAGTAAGGCAATATCCCAAATCCCCCAGTAACCGGACGAAACACAGTTCTGGGAGTCAGAGGTTTTTATTCACAGCATCCAGTATTTATACAAGTCCCCATGCAAGGGGTTTCCCTACTGACATGGCAGGGGTTGTACAGTAGGGGACTTAACATTCAGACTTTTTCTCCCATAAGGCACTGCTGGACGAGAAGGATACTCCCACTGGAATACACCGTTAAGTGGATTATCCCTCCGTGCAGCAGAACTGGCATTTCACATTAAAATATATAACTTTTATAATACTTGAGTGATTTAAACGAATGGACGTTCGGTAGATAGCTGGGGTCTGAGCGCACCTTTGTCGAGAATACCGCTCAGATCCCAGCTAAAACAACTGAACGCCGCACGAAATACACTTTGCCCATGAGTTCGTCCGAAAGTACCGAACACCGATGGGGAACTGTAATAGGGAAATACCGGAGCTCCCGAACGGCCTGGAAGTCCAGCGGGGTTTGTGTCGTCGAGTAGCCGATTTTGGCTCCACGTGCTCGACGACCAAACCCCGCTGGTGAGACAAAGGATCCAAGATGGCCGACCGCCGTGTGGTCGGTAGCCTAACGACGGCCACCTAGGAAAGCCTCTAATTACCAATTGCAACATTGTTGCAATCGGTTAATGAGTGCCACACGTGCCTCTATGTGTGGGCTATTAGGGGGTAGCTCATTCGGTTCACGAACAGCCCGTAGGGTTGCTGTTCGTGAAACGAAACACATGAATGCTAGTGGCTTTCGGCTGCTAGCATACGAATTCTATGCAAACATACAGTAACACACAGTGTAAATCCAGGTTATACAAGAAGTTACAGAGATTAGTACAGACAACCTTTTTATGCACATAGTCCAGAATATTACAAGTGGCTGGGTTTGCCACAGGGCATATGCAAATTAGTTTAACAAAGTGGCTTGACTGGTGTGCAGATTTTAATTTAACATTGTATTAACTATCCACAGACTTCAGGTGGAAGGGGTTTTCAATCATAATTTTTCCCCACCATAACCTATTTTGGATTTTGCTTCCCAAGCACTACCAAGCCTCAATAAGCAAACCAGTAGCCAACCTAATGCTGACGAGTTGCATTAACAACGAAACAGCTGTCCACGAGTGGTTCACTGGTTTTGCATCTTTTCCTAAATTGTGTTCCAAGCAGTTGTATACTGCAAACACAGATTAAAAGGAATCCATGTTTAAAATGGAATAAGGCAAAAATTTGATTCTTTGTTAAACAGCTACTTCTTGCCATGGGATTCATTTTTAACCATTTACCCACTAGCTGCCACTGAGAATAAAAATGAACAAACCAGAAATTAAATCTTCATTCCCAAAATGAGTTACTAGATCAGGAAGAGACATTGTAATCTTACTATTAATTTTTATTAAGTGTCAAAATGTTACATAAAAAAAATTTTTTTTTTTAGTTTATAAAAATAAAAAAAAACATAAGAAACGTAAGTAACAGTCACAATATTTATTATCTTTTAATCTGTGCGCAGACAGTATGTAAAAAGGCACTAACCGAAGGGAAATTCCCAAAATAAATAGACAATTTTTTAAAAGGGCAGTTCCCACCATTAGTAGAAATGTCTGTCAACAATAAACCGTGCGTCGTTAATTTTATTACAAATACATGAATATCGGGTAAAGTGGCAGAAATTGGAGTCCACCTCGGTACATGCTCTGTATAAATCCAATTTGTATTAACTGGGCAGGCTGTCCCTGATCCTACTGACCAACATGCACCCAACGCATTTTACCATTAATGACAATAGTCCACATTTTGCGACAGGAACAGGAAAAGCTTTTCTGATTAGGCAGCAAAGATCGTTGCTTCTCACATTAAAATATCTACCAGCCTATTGTCAGAAAATTACCAAAGAAAGCTGGAGGTAGCAAACCACGTTTAATCCTCTACTTGTCAGACATTTACACTTTGCTTTGTGATGGATTCAAGGAAACAAATTCAGTAAGGATTGAAGACTTTCCTGCATTTAGTGAGATAATTCTCCAATATTTACAGGAACGAGCTAACTCGTCCAGTCAGCCGTCTCTCTGCATAACGACTCAATCTGTTTAAGCCCATGTTTGAGGTTACAATTAATCCAGTGGGGGAACTGCGCTTTTAAATAACGAAAATAGTCAAACACAAAAGGGATGAAACATATTACAGCATTTAAAGGGACACTGGGATAGAAAGCTGCCAAATTCAGTACTGCCAGTTCTTATAGAGATCCAGAGCTGTGTGCAGAGTATATACGCAACACACAAAACTACGAGCAGGACATACCAGGCACCGTGTTCTACAATTCCCATCAAGCTAAACCAGGCAGACACTGCATTTACCTGTCCATAAAAGGGCCAAATATAAAACTGATTGTATACCTTTAAATGCTAGACAATGAAAATAAAATGAAAGAATTGCGCAAAGGAAACAGTTTGAAGATTTCTTTTACTTTAACAATTTTTCTACTTTGTATGTAAACTGAAAATCAGTTATTTTACCCAAAACCTGGGCTACATGAAAATAAATTAAATGGTTCACATATTAATATATTAACATGACTGTAAAAGAGTTAAATAAAATCTATATCTGAAGACGTTAGAACACGATTATAACTCTGTAATAGGTTAGATTTGTTTAATGTACAGGAGCATTTGCGAGCTGAATACGCCATAGCTGGTTTAAACTGCAAAAGATATATGTCTGGCTTCTTAAGCGGACTATAAATTGGCATTTATGGAATTTTGCGATCTAATTATACCCCGCTGTTAACGACCTATCAAGGTCCACAATATTTCACGGTAGTGTGGAGTGTGATAAGGTAAAAAGAGAACGCCATCAGTAAAATCCTTTCACCTTGAGAGGAAACAAGAGGATTCTGGGAACTGAGCCCAACATTACAACTTCTTGTGTGTTAAATAAAAAAGGTATACAAACCTGGTATTACATCAGATTGTGAGGAGCGGAAGGAAGACAGAAGAGGCATTTGCCCAAAGTGCTACCATCAGCCATGAAATGTGACTGGGCTCAGAACGACCATTATAAACAGATCGTGTGAAACCTTGAGACTGTCGTACGTGGAGGGCAGACAAAAAAGAAGCAAACAAACCCACAATAATAAAAAATGAAGAAAACAGTGAGCGGCAGTGCTGGGAAGGGGACATTTTAGTCTTGCATAACAGAAATGGAACTGGCCCCAGCTGTGCTTGGCTTGCGTTACATAATACACAGGGAATAAAGGAAATGCCCAAACCCCGATCCCGGAGTGAACCCCCACATTGAAGGGGGTCTAATGGAAGAAGAAAAACCTGAACTGTTCTTACAAGCAGACAGACAGGCCAAACATGACCCCAAAACGACAGAGGACAAACAACAAAAAGGTTAAAGTGCGATGTTAGCGTATGTACCAAGTGTGATGGGTTCGTGGTGTGTGTGTGTAAGCAAAGGCTTATAGTAATATTAGCTTACGTCCCCTAATGAGGAAAGGCAGAGAAACATTCTGTGTTACAATCTGAACATTAAACGGTACCCAATGCCACCAGAAAAGGTCGTTGCAGCAGTTTACAATACATTACAAGGAGTTAATAAGGAGGTAAAATACCCCCAGATACAGTTCAGCCTAGCTTACTGTAATCGGAAAACACAAATAATCCAGGATTTTCTCATGTTAGTGCTGGATTTGTGGCAATGAGTAGGAAATGGCAAAAAAATGAATGGCCTCAAAAAGAACATGGTCCTTAGTCCAAAGTCAGGAAAGTCGAGCAGCTGCAAACAGCGAAGGGCATGAAGATCCATCAGAGCTCAGTGCAGGTGACAGGAGTCAGGCCATGAATTAGTAATGTAGGCCCAAGGCCTTCTGTCAGAGCCTCCAATTCCTCCAGGTAGCGTTCATGGAGAGAGGCATCAGCTGGTGGACGTGGAAGGTAAAAAAAACGCACAGCAGAATCTGTGCCACCCTCTTCTACCACCACACGGTTGGCAGCAGTGAGGTACTCTGTGGAGATGGGTTCACGTGACAGGCCCTGTGTTACACCATTTTGGCCACGGAGTGCTGCCACGCTGTTCCATGCCACCACACGGATGGCTGCAGATATGCGTAATTTGCACAAAAGCTCACGGAACTTGGCTTCAGCCGCAATCCAGCTATTCCCACCATTGCCTCCACTTCCCCTGGATTCCACACAAAGAAAGACACGTAGCCGACAGCGGCGCCATGAGGCAGCCATGTTGAGGATGCACGCCATCTGCAGCAGGAAGAGGCTGCAAACGTCCACATACGCTGAAGCCTGAGGTCGCAGGAGGTCCAATGGCCAAACATCTATGTATGTACCAGAACCAGCATTTTCAGGCCTGGCCAGGGAAGGGAAGCCTCGTGCAAGCACTATGTTCTTGTGCATCTTTAGGGCATCACAGATCATTGCAACATATTCCTTGGCTGAGAGAAGGTGTGGGGTCTCAGGACCTCGAACGGGTGGAAAATGAGCCTGCAGCGATGTAGCATCCACACCAAATGGGTCATCTTGGGGAGCCAGGCCGGGAGCAAAAGCAGGATCTTGCAGGAAGAAGTCATCAGGGGTGGCATCATCATAGAAACCAAGAACCAGCATGTTGGGCTTCATGCCGCCTGCGGATTAATAAAATAAAGTGTCATCAATGAGGAGACAGGAAAATGTGGCACTCTAAATAAAACCTCAGAACAAAGGAATAGCTGCATACACGCATATGCCCCAGCTTAGCTTTTAAAGCCGGTGTGAGGGACATTCTGACTCCATCTTATTTCAGACCTCCATCGGATTTCTATGTAAACGTCCGAACTCTACCAAGAGAGCAGTCTAGCTATCGGCATTCCAGGAAGGGATTGATAGAAAAGAGAGGAGAGGGCAGATATGGTAGGTGTGTGATTAGGTTTTTATTTCTGTGTATTTTGATAAAGAGTATGTTGTGCTGGTCTTATGTCCAAAACAAGGACCACCTTCTCCTGATATATGGCTTTACCTGGTTACCGTGCAACATTCCTGGATTCAAGATAATAAAGACAGCAAAACACATTTTATTAATTAGCAACCTCCAACTCCAAAGGGACTCTATAGGCACCAAAACAACGTTGTTTACGTGACTATAGTGTTCCTTTAAGAGCCTAGTTAAGACACATTAAACATTCATTTTGCCTGGAGATGGACAGCATCCCTTGTAGACTGGTGATTATAAACTGTGTAAGAAGAATTCACTAGATTAACGGAGTGTATCTCCAATATTGAAAATATAGCCGTATGGATCAATAAATCTTTCTACACATCAACAGAATTGAGTCATTCCCAGGCTAAACAACCACACAGGGGTGGGCTAAACCCAAAGCCAGCATACATCTGCAACTCCAATGATGCTTTGCCAGTTTTAAAGGACCACTCCACACCCATTAAGCACTGCGGCTTGCTATCACATAATAACTTTGATTAGAAACTATAAATAATTTCTGAAATGCCCCCGTGCCTGTCAGACAATAAGCCAGGGAGGATTCTTCCCCTGAACTCTTATTGAGCCCGCAAAGGCAGAGTTCATAAGAATTGTAGCATTTGCCAACTGTTCTAAGATGTACCCTCAATGAATACAAACACAAAAATGCATGAATGTGTTCATTGAGGTATATTTACTAAACTGTGATATATAATGGTTTGCCCATTTGGGAAGTGGAGTATTCCTTTAAAGGTGAAGTATGGAGGTGTAGTGATAGAGGAATATCAGAGAGCTGCAGGGCAGGATGGAGGTGCAGTGAGAGCTGTGTGTGGGGTCAGTACAGGAATAGCAGAGAGAGCGGCAGGGCAGGATGGAGGTGTAGTGACAGAGCTGTGTGTGGGCTCAGTACAGGAATAGCAGAGAGAGCTGCAAGGCAGGATGGAGGTGCAGTGACAGAGCTGTGTGTGGGGTCAGTACAGGAATAGCAGAGAGAGCTGCAGGGCAGGATGGAGGTGCAGTGACAGAGCTGTGTGTGGGGTCAGTACAGGAATAGCAGAGAGAGCTGCAGGGCAGGATGGAGGTGCAGTGACAGAGCTGTGTGTGGGCTCAGTACAGGAATAGGAGAGAGAGCTGCAGGTCAGGATGGAGGTGTAGTGACAGAGCTGTGTGGAGTCAGTACAGGAATAGCAGAGAGAGCTGCAGGATAGGATGAAGGTGCAATGACAGAGCCGTGTGTGGGGTCAGTGCAGGAATAGCAGAGAGAGCTGCAGGGCAGGATGGAGGTGCCGTGACCGAGCGGTGTGTGGGGTCAGCGCAGGAATAGTAATAATAGCTGTATGTGAAGCAGTGCAGTTGCAGAGAGGAGATACGTGGTGAGCAGCGTAGTTGCAGGGAGTGGGTAATTCTGAGTTAAAGATTAAGATGAACATACCCAGTCCAGTGATACGCAGGAGTTGTTGGGTTCCGTGTCGGACCGATGGACAGAGAGTAAGATCCACAAAAGCTTTCACATTCAGCTTATCAACCAGACTGAGCCAGAAACTGTAATGAATCTGCACGGGATCTGAAGGGAGCGCATCTGGGAGACATAACGAGGGCAGATCAGTATAATAAGGGGAGTAGACAGGAAGAGTATAATAACTGGAATAATATAATAAACTGTATAAACAAAAAAGTTACATCCTGAGTGTAAAAGAGATATTGTGCTGTCTGTAAGGAGATACTGACGCCATCAGAAACCACCTCTGAATACGAGGGCAGTGACACCAGCCCAATCCGACCTGTAACCCCTCCTCTTCAGGGTCAATCTGGGTGGATGTGATTCTACAGGGTTTTAGAAGGTCCTTGAGGACAGTGTAATAAAATATAATTCAGAGAGCTTTAAACTGAAACAGGAATTCTAACAGATCAGACAGCCCGCAGAGGTCATTAAGGGTCTGTCAGCAAACCTGGGCAGATTCTCCATGTATACCAAACACTGCCGGACCTGCATTTGTTACAACGGTGGGGACTACGTAGGACTGAGTAGAGGACACATACAGCTCATTGATTAATAAATGGTGATGTGGTGGGAGAATTTCCAATCTCACCCAGGTCTCCAGTCTCCACGTGGCCCATGATAAACAGCCCGCCTTTTTTCAAATCGTTAATAAATTTGATGAGTTGGCATGATGTCCGTGGATTAGATACCATCAGCAGAATCTGGGGCCGCCAGAATTTCACATGCTCCTTCCTCACATCCAGGAGGAGCAGATACTTCCTGACCTGGGAGGGAACGCAGAGGGTTACCATGAGGCGGAATGTAAATACGGACCAAGGGCCACCCCCAATCTCTCCATCCCCCACACTGTGACTTACCTGGTGGAAGATCAAGGCTTGGCTGATATATCCCCAACCACTGCTACTGCTCCGGAAATGGATGGAGCCCAGCAAGAGCAGGAGGAGGACTATACTCCCTGAGGCATAGGCAGGGTTAATGAGAAACATCATCACCAGACAACTCAGTATCCCCAGCAAACAGGAATGCCAGGAGAAAAGTCGAAATGTGGGTCTAGAGAGAGGAGAAAGACATCGGTCTCAGAGCCAAGAACTGCAGTAGCAACTGTGCTGTGTATACATGGCATGGTGTACTAGTGTGTGAGGGGAGACTGGCACTGCCGCTGTCTGTACTGTACCTGTGCTGTGTATACATGGCATGGTGTAGTAGTGTGTGTGAGGGGAGGCTGGCACTGCCGCGGTCTGTGCTGTACCTGTGTATACATGGCATGGTGTAGTAGTGTGTGAGGGGGAGGCTGGCACTGCCGCTGTCTGCGCTGTACCTGTGCTGTGTATACATGGTATGGCGTAGTAATGTGTGAGGGGAGGCTGGCACTGCCGCTGTCTGTGCTGTACCTGTGCTGTGTATACATGGCATGGTGTAGTAGTGTGTGAGGGGGAGGCTGGCACTGTCGCTGTCTGTGCTGTACCTGTGCTGTGTATACATGGCATGGTGTAGTAGTGTGTGTGAGGGGGAGGCTGTCACTGTCACGGTCTGTGCTGTACCTGTGCTGTGTATACATGGCATGGTGTAGTAGTGTGTGAGGGGAGGCTGGCACTGTTGCTGTCTGTGCTGTGTATACATGTCATGGTGTAGTAGTGTGTGAGGGGGAGGCTGGCACTGCTGCTGTCTGCGCTGTACCTGTGCTGTGTATACATGGCTTGGTGGAGTAGTGTGTGAGGAGAGGCTGACACTGGCGCTGTCTGTGCTGTGTATACATGGCATGGTGTAGTAGTGGGTGAGGGGGCAATGCCGCGGTCTGCGTTGTATATACACATGGCATGGTGTAGCTGTGAATACACTTACCGGAAGTTAGGTGCCGATGCCCATTCTAGTGCCAGACATGCCAGATCTATAGCAGCGTATGCCATGAGGTAGAATACGGTGACAATACCAGCTATTGTGTTAAGTTTCCCTGCTAAGAGAACAAGCTGAGAAACAGGTACGGGTCAGGAATGAATAACTGATACAGACAGACAGACAATAAATTTACTTTTATAATCTCAGACTGACCCCACGCTGCCTCTCCACCTTCTCTATGCCAACCTGTCATATTACCCGAGTACCCACCACGTGCCCCTGATAATCTTCCAACTCCATGCCCACCTGTCACCCACTGAGTACCCACCCAGTGCCCCTGCCCTTCCTCCCTCCATGCCCGGTCATATATTACAGCTCACTGAGAAATATAAGAAAGCTGTGATTGCTTGCGGTTCCAGTCAGACGATTTTCAGTGAGAGACCTCTAATTGCCGTCAGGGAACACTTCAATCAGGCAGCTGGGCTCTCTCGTTTTTTTTTTTTTATTAATACACTCTAAAATAAAGCATGCATGGAAAAAATCTGCATGTTTTTATTGGTGGTAGATCTACTAAATTGTTAAAACAAATGTAAAACGTTCAGTGGCGTGTTCCTTTAATGGATGGGTGACATATTGATTGAACATCGTAGTCTCTTTGCTCTGAGCGGACGGTTAGCCGATATGGACACTAGTAAGGACTAACCTGTACCAAAAACCAGGTGTACACCACGGCTCCCCAGGGGTTTCCTCCTTTGGATACAAGTTTAGCTGGAGACAGCAATATTCCTGATGGATAAAAGTCGAGACAGAAGCAGGTGTGAATGGTTAGCAGACTAGTAATAGAGCGAGGGAAGGCTAGAATAGCAGGATACATGGAGGGATAGATCCAACGGAGGAGACGGGAACCAAGAAACAACAATTAGAGGGAAAATGTGAGTGACTGAGGTGGTTGGTGGGACATGCGAAGATGAGACAACCAATAGGGGACGTTTTAAGAAGGATTTATGGAAATCTCTATGAATAGTGAATGCATGATGATCACTAAAGTGAGATAAATAATGGAGGGGAAGGAGGATGGATGGACAGAGGGAAGTGCAGGAAAAATGGTAGGGTGCACAGTGGGGTGCGCAGGACATGTTATGGAGTGCTCGGTGGAATAACTATTGTAATGGTCTCCCGAGAGGCAGACAGCAACTTAGATGTGTAAGGAGTGTGAATGACAGGTAGCTCTGTCTATCCTCACCAAACAAGTCGTCCTTGGCCAGAGCGTGCAGAATGCGAGACGCCCCGATCAGGGTGCTCATGGAAGCAGACAGGGAAGTGGCGTACACCCCGATCAGTACGAAAGGAGACCAGATGTTAATAGATCGAAAAAATCCATAATCCTCTTTCAGCAGTGTCCTGGGAATGAATGGGACAAGTTCAGGATGGGACGACTACACATATAATATCTATAGCGACCGGTGGGGTTTGGGGGGGAGCGGTACGAGTCATCACTTAATTATATTACCTGGGGGCCATCCCATCACTCCGTTATTATATTACCTGGGGGCCAACTACTCCGTTATATTACATTACCTGGGGGCCAACTACTCCGTTATATTACATTACCTGGGGGCCAACTACTCCGTTATATTACATTACCTGGGGGCCAACTACTCCGTTATATTACTATAGGACCTGGGGGCCAACTACTCCGTTACTATAGGACCTGGGGGCCAACTACTCCGTTACTATAGGACCTGGGGGCCAACTACTCCGTTACTATAGGACCTGGGGGCCAACTACTCCGTTACTATAGGACCTGGGGGCCAACTACTCCGTTACTATAGGACCTGGGGGCCAACTACTCCGTTACTATAAGACCTGGGGGCCAACTACTCCGTTACTATAGGACCTGGGGGCCAACTACTCCGTTACTATAGGACCTGGGGGCCAACTACTCCGTTACTATAGGAGCTGGGGGCCAACTACTCCGTTACTATAGGACCTGGGGGCCAACTCCTCCGTTACTATAGGACCTGGGGGCCAACTACTCCGTTACTATAGGACCTGGGGGCCAACTACTCCGTTACTATAGGACCTGGGGGCCAACTACTCCGTTACTATAGGACCTGGGGGCCAACTACTCCGTTACTATAGGACCTGGGGGCCAACTACTCCGTTACTATAGGACCTGGGGGCCAACTACTCCGTTACTATAGGACCTGGGGGCCAACTACTCCGTTACTATAGGACCTGGGGGCCAACTACTCCGTTACTATAGGACCTGGGGGCCAACTACTCCGTTACTATGGGACCTGGGGGCAACTGCTCCGTTACTATAGGACCTGGGGGCCAACTACTCCGTTACTATAGGACCTGGGGGCCAACTACTCCGTTACTATAGGACCTGGGGGCCAACTACTCCGTTACTATAGGACCTGGGGGCCAACACTCCGTTACTATAAGACCTGGGGGCCAACACTCCGTTACTATAGGACCTGGGGGCCAACACTCCGTTACTATAGGACCTGGGGGCCAACACTCCGTTACTATAGGACCTGGGGGCCAACACTCCGTTACTATAGGACCTGGGGGCCAACACTCCGTTACTATAGGATAGCTATCCCATCGTTCCATCTAAAGCAAAGCTCTTTCTTTAGAAGCTAAACTCAGTAAATCCATAGAACGTTTTGGGAGCATCATAATCAGCGAAGTCATTTCTGGTCTGGAACAACTTTCTCTTACAGGTAGCTATTGTATTACTACTTATTGTAAACCTCCAATAAGGTAAAGTGATAGGAAAATCCCCTTTTCCCAGTAATAATTCCAGTATATTTGTTTCCATACTAGGTGCGGGTAATAAACTGGAGTGCGGCCTTACCGGTTACAAGTCAGTGAAGTCATGAGGAAGAGAATTAAATAGACAAAAAATGTAATGATCACAGCGATTATGGTGCCAATGGGAATAGCTCGGCTGGGCTGCTTAAGTTCCCCTGTAAGAACATTAAAAAAAATTAAAATAAGAATAAAAAAATATATAAAAATGATATAAATCAGTTGTTACTGTGCATTCAGAAGCTGTTGTGGCTATAACCATGTTATCTTCAGATCTGTGAAAACTAGTAATGCAGCCCAGAGGGAGAGAAAATCTGGATTTATACAGGCATACACCTGAGGGCTCCTTAGAAGCCTGAAATAAAGCAGTTCTTCCATTTAAGAATGACGTTTGTAATGTGTTGCATGGAATGAGTGAGGGGAAGAGATTTTGTTGCATATTTGCTATTTAGATGGCTATTTTGGAAGTAAGCATACCAGCAGATTCTCTACAAATAGCAATAAATGGAGCATTTGACAGTTTTATTAATATTTTATGGCAATGCCGGCTGCATGTTCTTAAACTGGAATTTGCAATACTACTCTAGGTTTTCAGAACCTACGTAAGCATTGCAAAGAGTTTTACTTTACTGTAATACGTACCTGGGTTGGGGGAAGGAATGTTAAATTTATATTTTTAATAATATTTTGTGCATGGAAGGGACAGTCATATTGTTTTATAATTACATTTATTTAAAGAAGGGTCAAGGGGAATTAACTCTAATAACTAAACTGGAATACAAAACAAAAAAACGTGCTGTACTTCACATTTTTTATGTGACTTTGTGTCTGCAGCAGTTTTACGAATTGTTTATTTACACAAAATTGGGATTAAGCACCTTGCACACTTCATTTGTGTCTTTATTTCTGGTAAATTATACTGGAATAGTCTGCATCCCCATTTAAGGTAGAGGGGGGGGGGGAGGGATATACCAATTCAAATGGATTCTATGCTCAGGCAACAACCTACTTCTGCCACCAATTCGCTTTATTTGCAAATGTTTCTTACCAGACATGTTACATCCTGCCATGATTCCGGTGCAACCATTAAACATAACCGCAAACACTGTAGCAAAGTTCATGAGATTACCGGTAGTGTAGTCCAAGGAATAATCGGCTGATGAGAGAAAGCGAGAGAGAGTCACGTGATTTAAAATAACAGAGTATGAGGTCAGAGGTATAAACAGTCTATACATACCATGTAGATTGTTATGTAGAGTGGTGCTGTTGATTCCAGTATATTCTCCAATTATAGTTGTGTTATCTCCATGTCGAATGGTCACATGGAGTGGCCCTACAGCCACAAAACTAAGTAAGATTGATAAAAGGACTAACAAGACCACAATAAAGATGAAGAATGAAGCTTGCGAATAAATGGAGGCTCCAACCAGGCAAACCGACAAACAAAGGAGGAGGACCACGCTAGCATAAAGAAAGTTATAGCCGTACCCTTGGGGGAGAGCACGCAAAGGGTCTGAAATGCCCGACGTGTCTGAGAAAAGAGAAAAAACTGATTATGTGAGTGTGAATGACAATTAAGGTAGATTAACAAATAAAAAAGGAGACAAGTGAGCAGAGTATGTAAAAGAAAAATAAATAAAACCCATACAGACCTTTCCCAAAGATGTCAAGCACGGCCTCCACCAGTCCCAGAACATAGACTCCACATGCACATACATTGGCCAGATAGAACATCAGACCAATGCTACCTCCAAACTCAGGACCTAGTGTTCGTGAGATCATAACTGGGAGACAATCAAGGAGGACAACAGAGTAGAGATGGACAAGGGATGGGAAAGAAAGGGGTGGAAGAAGCCAGTATAAAACAAAGTTCTTTCGATATTTTGTGATTATCTAGAATGGGGGTTGGCAACATTCGGTACGCCAACCCAAATGTTGTGGACTATATCTCCCATAATGCACTTACAGCAAAATGGAAAATCGTCAGGGGAGATGTTGTCTACAACATGTGGAGTGCCTTCATTTTTCTATCCCTGAAAAATATCCTTCCTAAAATATCCTGATCCTGATGAGCAGAGCATACACAAGCCCAAAATATATAGAAATAGGATAAAACTACGGCCATTGGGAAGAGGGCCCTCACCTATCTCGAGGCGGCCTGTGCCGTTTTGAATAACATTTTCATTGAAGTCTGATTAGGATACAGTACGCTCCGCCTCCCTGGACAGCTCCGTTAGTAGAGATGGCACAGACACTGAGCACAGTCAGCCAGATGATAGCGTAGGCCACAAATAGCATGAGAAGAGACTGCAGGAGACCCGCATGTCCCACAACGAAACCTGGAAGAAGAAAGAAGACAGTGGTCAGTCTGACACTGCAGACATAGACATGAGCTCTAAAACAGGGGTAGACAACCTTCACCACTCCACAATGCTCATATAGTCATAAAGCTGGCAAAGCATTAGGGAAGATGTAGTCCACAACATCTGGAGTGCCGATGGTTGCCACCCCTGCTCTAAGAGGACACAAAATAGTAAAAAAAAACAAAAAAACCCACAAGTTTCCTTAGTGCAATAAGCTGAATATAATCAGTCGGTCGGTTTTATCAGGGTAATACAAACATTTTATCTTTGATAGCCATCGGTCAGTGGGTCTTATCGATCATTTTAAATCAATTCATTTCCTGCCCAGTTCAATTATTATAATATATCCTAGCTTGGTAACTTGTTTTAATAAAGACTTATTCACCTCTTGTATCTGCTAATGTTTGCCATTATTTCGCCCCTCTGTGTCTTTTTATTCACATAGGGAGCCCTGCCTTCCTGAAAGCAATTTGTACCCCAGTATACTGTGCATGAATTCTATGGTGTCCCTGGTCACGTACAGCCCGTGTATCGGGAGAACTCACCGATCCTCATGAATAAAACAATGCTGAACATGGACAGAACAGTGGGCACCACAACACCAAAAAAGGTGGAAAGTTTGCGTGGTGCAGGACCTGCGGTAATAGTTTCTGTGCCGCATAGGGCGGAGTCTGCAGGCCCCAGAGCGCCATCGGATACACTGAAGAGGCGGTAATGAAGAAGGGGAGAGTTTTCCGAGGTCATTCCTGGAAAGAATGGACAAAGAAAGTTAATTCATGTAAAACACACAACATACATGTAATCTATAATCACTCCGTTAATATGATATAAAAGGACACAGCAGGTTATGTAATCCTGACCGAGGGCCAGTTAGTAGACATTTCACGGGTTTCAGCTCATTAAAAATAAACACAAACAAGAGACCCAAAAAACAAAGTAAGATCAGACAATGCACAGATGCAATGAATGGTGATATGACTGGCTGTAGATTTCCTCATGGCACGAGGAAGGCCAGTCAGAGCTCCAAATGGCACGAGGAAGGCCAGTCAGAGCTCCAATTGGCACGAGGAAGGCCAGTCAGAGCTCCAATTGGCACGAGGAAGGCCAGTCAGAGCTCCAAATGGCACGAGGAAGGCCAGTCAGAGCTCCAAATGGCACGAGGAAGGCCAGTCAGAGCTCCAAATGGCACGAGGAAGGCCAGTCAGAGCTCCATATAGTACGTGGAAGGCCAGTCAGAGCTCCATATAGTACGTGGAAGGCCAATCAGAGCTCCATATAGTACGTGGAAGGCCAGAGCTCCATATAGTACGTGGAAGGCCAATCAGAGCTCCATATAGTACGTGGAAGGCCAATCAGAGCTCCATATAGTACGTGGAAGGCCAATCAGAGCTCCATATAGTACGTGGAAGGCCAATCAGAGCTCCATATAGCAGAAGGAGGCCAATCAGAGCTCCATATAGTACGAGGAGGCCAATCAGAGCTCCATATAGTACGGGGAGGCCAATCAGAGCTCCATATAGTACGAGGAGGCCAATCAGAGCTCCATATAGTACGAGGAGGCCAATCAGAGCTCCATATAGTACGAGGAGGCCAATCAGAGCTCCATATAGTACGAAGAGGCCAATCAGAGCTCCATATAGTACCAGGAGGCCAATCAGAGCTCCATATAGCATGAGGAGGACAATCAGAGCTCCATATAGCATGAGGAGGACAATCAGAGCTCCATATAGCATGAGGAGGACAATCAGAGCTCCATATAGCATGAGGAGGACAATCAGAGCTCCATATAGCATGAGGAGGACAATCAGAGCTCCATATAGCATGAGGAGGACAATCAGAGCACCATATAGTGCAAGGAGGACAATCAGAGCTCCATATAGTACGAGGAGGCCAATCAGAGCTCCATATAGTACGAGGAGGCCAATCAGAGCTCCATATAGTACGAGGAGGCCAATCAGAGCTCCATATAGTACCAGGAGGCCAATCAGAGCTCCATATAGCATGAGGAAGCCAATCAAAGCTCCATATAGCATGAGGAGGACAATCAGAGCTCCATATAGCATGAGGAGGACAATCAGAGCTCCATATAGCATGAGGAGGACAATCAGAGCTCCATATAGCATGAGGAGGACAATCAGAGCTCCATATAGCATGAGGAGGACAATCAGAGCACCATATAGTGCAAGGAGGACAATCAGAGCTCCATATAGTGCAAGGAGGACAATCAGAGCTCCATATAGGAGGAGGAGGCCAATCAGAGCTCCCTATAGCACAAGGAGGACAATCAGAGCTACCATTACTTCAATCCAGACTATTCCCCACTTCCTTCAAAAATCGCATAGTAGGCATGATGCAGTCAGGCAGAGCATTCTTTGGGATCTTCCTACCCCACGGTCAATTGTCAGATATTAAGATATTAATACCGTGTGTCCACTACTGACAGGAGTTAAGTCAGGTACATTGTACCCCACAGAGTATCACCTCTATCCAGTTACTGTGCAGGTAATAGTGTACACAGGGTATCCTCACCTCTATGCAGTTACGGTGGCGGTAATAGTGTACACAGAGTATCCTCACCTTTATCCAGTTACTGTGGCGGTAATAGTGTACGCAGAGTATCCTCACCTCTATCCAGTTACTGTGGCTGTAATAGTGTGCACAGAGTATCCTCACCTCTATCCAGTTACTGTGGCTGTAATAGTGTACACAGAGTATCCTCACCTCTATTCAGTTACTGTGGCTGTAATAGTGTACACAGAGTATCCTCACCTCTATCCAGTTACTGAGCCGGTAATAGTGTACGCAGAGTATCCTCACCTCTATCCAGTTACTGTGGCTGTAATAGTGTACACAGAGTATCCTCACCTCTATCCAGTTACTGTGCCGGTAATAGTGTACACAGAGTATCCTCACCTCTATCCAGTTACTGTGGCGGTAATAGTGTACACAGAGTATCCTCACCTCAATCCAGTTACTGTGGCTGTAATAGTGTACACAGAGTATCCTCACCTCTATGCAGTTACTGTGGCTGTAATAGTGTACACAGAGTATCCTCACCTCTATCCAGTTACTGTGCTGGTAATAGTGTACACAGAGTATCCTCACCTTTATCCAGTTACTGAGCAGGGAAGGACGAGGGACATTATTTGTCTGGATTTTAAGCTTCATTGAGGGGTGAGTTAGCGTTTGACTGTTACATTCCTGCCACATTCCTCATTCTATCATTCATACAATTCTACAGATCTTTTTACTGACACACACTATTTCAATCAATATACACCGTGTCCTGTATTATTAACTTACTAGCTATTTAACAGGAGACGCAATGAAAACACAACACAATTTGTATAGTAAGGTGGAGGGCAGACTACCATTCCCATCACCTTCAGAGAGCTTGCTTTGTATACCATCACCTACCACATGGATAGAGGGTGAGATAGAGTCACGTATTTCTAAAATCCCAGATAAACACCAGAGGAACAGTTAGTGGCTGGCTGAGAGTGATAAGTTGCACTAGAATTCAATATTTTGACAATCACATTACAATAAATTGCAGGGTTCTACATATCACTGATATTAAAGGTGAAATTTCATTTTCAGTACGAAAATCGTGATAGTAACACTATAACCGCCCCACCAGAACAGATAAACTGCACATAGTCTCCACACCAACAATATTACACGGAATACCTCTACATTACACACTGTATCTCTGTATAACACCAATATGCTATATCACATGGAGTACCTCTATATAACACCCATACTCAGTACCTCTATATAACACAGTGCGACTCTATATAACAGTATCTCTATATAACACACAGTGCGACTCTATATAACAGTATCTCTATATAACACACATTGTGACTCTATATAACACAGTATCTCTATATAACACACAGTGTGACTCTATATAACACAGTGTGACTCTCTATAACACAGTATCTCAATATAACACAGTGTGACTCTCTATAACACACAGTGGGACTCTCTCTAACACAGTATCTCTATAACACACACAGTGTGACTCTATATAATACACAGTATCTCAATATAACACACACAGTGGGACTCTCTATAACACAGTATATCTATATAACACACAGTGAGACTCTATATAACACACAGTGAGACTCTATATAACACACAGTGAGACTCTATATAACACAGTATCTCTATAACACACTGTATCTCTATATAACACACAGTGGGACTCTCTATAACACACAGTGGGACTCTCTATAACACAGTATATCTATATAACACACACAGTATGACTCTATATAACACACAGTATCTCTATATAACACACAGTGAGACTCTATATAACACACAGTGAGACTCTATATAACACACAGTGAGACTCTATATAACACACAGTGAGACTCTATATAACACAGTGTGACTCTATATAACACAGTGTGACTCTATATAACACACAGTGTGACTCTATATAACACACAGTGGGACTCTCTATAACACAGTATCTCTATAACACACACAGTGTGACTCTATATAATACACAGTATCTCAATATAACACACACAGTGGGACTCTCTATAACACAGTATATCTATATAACACACAGTGTGACTCTCTATAACACACAGTATGACTCTCTATAACACACAGTATGACTCTATAAAACACACAGTATGACTCTATAAAACACACAGTATGACTCTATAAAACACACAGTATGACTCTATAAAACACACAGTATGACTCTATATAACACAGTGTGACTCTATATAACACAGTATCTCTATATAACACACAGTGTGACTCTATATAACACACAGTATCTCTCTATAACACACAGTGGGACTCTCTATAACACACAGTATCTCTCTATAACACACAGTGGGACTCTCTATAACACACAGTATCTCTATATAACACAGTATCTCTATATAACACAGTATCTCTATAACACACACAGTGTGACTCTATATAATACACAGTATCTCAATATAACACAGTATCTCTATAACACACACAGTGTGACTCTATATAATACACAGTATCTCAATATAACACACACAGTGGGACTCTCTATAACACAGTATATCTATATAACACACAGTGTGACTCTCTATAACACACAGTATGACTCTCTATAACACACAGTATGACTCTCTATAACACACAGTATGACTCTCTATAACACACAGTATGACTCTCTATAACACACAGTATGACTCTATAAAACACACAGTATGACTCTATATAACACACAGTATGACTCTATATAACACAGTGTGACTCTATATAACACAGTGTGACTCTATATAACACAGTATCTCTATATAACACACAGTGTGACTCTATATAACACACAGTATCTCTCTATAACACACAGTGGGACTCTCTATAACACACAGTATCTCTCTATAACACACAGTGGGACTCTATAACACACAGTATCTCTATATAACACACAGTAAGTATCTCTATATAACACACACAGTGTGACTCTATATAACACAGTATCTCAATATAACACACAGTGTGACTCTATATAAGAGAAAGCTTATACCCACCCTGCACTGTCTGTGTTCAGCAGCCACTTCCTGGTCAGCTGACAGATCATGTGACCCCTCCCCCACCCATCCCTTTATTGCAGCAGCAGGCTGTGTATAATAACTGCATGTGGGGATCATGGGATTACATCCAGTCATTGTCACAAACAGGGCTGTCATTGTACTGCGACGCGGAATATGTTAGTGCTATATAAATAATAACAATGTATTACAGTCTAAACTGTAATAATTGTGAATGGCTACAAGGAGACTGTAAAAGGCTAGCTGAGAATTTCAGGCTCAGTCTCTGATACAATACAGAGTTTCTTCCTGTAACTATACAGCACCGTGTGATACACTAACAGGAACGGTGAATAATATAAGAAATACAGTATATCCCCCCGCTAATAGCCACCGGCAGTGAGACAGTAACAGGAACGGTGAATAATATAAGAAATACAGTATATCCCCGCTAATAGCCACCGGCAGTGAGACAGTAACAGGAACGGTGAATAATATAAGAAATACAGTATTTTATTTTATTTAGTTTTGTAAAATGCTTCCAAAATTAAACAGAATAACAAAATAAATAACAAAATAACAATAATAAACAATCAACTGAAATAATACCCAATTCAAACATAATACCAAATGAAACATAAATACCCCAAAATTAAACATAAATACCGAAATAAAAACTCAGGAAGGGGCACTAATAGGGGAGTAAACTTATACCAAATTAAATAACTGGGAATAACAGGGAGAGGGATTAACAGAAAAAGGGGGGGGAACTAAATCATAAGGGGATAAATTAAAAGGCGGGGGGCTCCATTACTTCATGGAGCCTTGGGGAGGGAGAAAAAGGGCTGAAATGCTCCTGAAGGAGCTCTTACATAACAAGGGGGGGGGACAAGGGGGGACCCAATTGACCTCGAGTCCACAGCCAGCTAAACACAAACATAAACCAAGTGTGAAATAAAACACACACATAAACATAAACAAACCCATTACCCACATGGAGTCCTTTTCTCAGTTCATAAAACCCACCAACCACATGGAGTCCATCCCTCCGTCCATCAACACCAACCCACCACCTACACTTTAAACCCAAACTTTAAACCCAAACCCACCACCCAAATGGAGTCCATTTTCAATTCATAAAACCCACCACCCTCATGGAGTCTATCCCTCCGTCCATCCCCCAAACCCACCACCCAAATGGAGTCCTTTTCTCAGTTCATCACATCCAAACCCACCACCCACATGAAATCAAAATTTTGTCCATAGACCCACCACCCACATGAAATCCAGTTTGTACACCACCCTCAAGGAGTCCATCCCTCCGTCCATAAAGAAACCCAGTGTTTTTTTTTTTTTTTTCCCACCCAAAGTAAATTTTTCAATTTGTCCATACACCAGAAACCCACCCTAACCCAAACAATACCAAAAATAACCTGTGCATAACCATAACCATAACCATAACCTAACTACACTGCACTACCTAGACGCAGAGGAAGGTACTCGTCTGCTAAAGGTGGCAGCCTTCCATGAAAAGAAAAACCAGTTCAAAATCTACGGGGGAAAGGTGAAGACAGATTTGGAATTCCCTTCACCAAGACAAGGGCGTCTATGGAGCGGTTCAAGGCGGGTGGACCTTGAGATTTCGCCACAAACGCTGCCAAATGGTGGGATCCATAGAGGCCCTTTCGGTGGTATAGATCCCACGAACCGCCCTCAGAATGTCTGCTACCACCACCTGACAGGAAAGGTCTTTATGTTGAAGGGAAACCTGACACCTTGCCATCCAAGTGAAATACTTAACCACTGAACTGACTACATAAAGAGTGCCCAAATCAAAAGCCCTCCCCTTGAGTTGGACGTCCCGTACGCCCACTCCGCATAAGTCCAGCGGGATAAGCAGGGGATGCCTAAGGCGGCTGAGACCTCTTTGTAGACCTGTACGTTAAAGGGGCACTCGAGGAGGAAGTGGTCCATGGACTCCACTTCCCCGGAACAATCCACCCGAGGACAACCGCGATCCGTTATGTTCCTGTACTTCAAATTCCCTCGAACGTAAAGTCTACCGTGGAAGGAGAGAAACGCCACGTCTCGCTATTTCTCCGGAAGGCGCCTGGAGTTGATGTTTTTCAACCCCGAGGCGAGAGTACTTGGCGGGCAGTCCTTCAAAGCAAGCTGAATGCCAAAGTGGGTGGCCAGGACCCTCCCGTCGAGAAGCTTCTTGGGAGTGTCCCGAACCTCCTCCACCGTGACGTTCCACCTGCGCAGAATTCCCACTCCCTTGATGACCGAAGACGGAAGATAGCTAGAATGCCGAACTCTCATGCTCTTCACCCTCCCACCCTGAAACCAGTCCACCAGGAAAGGTGTGACCCACTCCCTGAATATACATACCCAGCCAGGCTGCTCATCCTTCAGGAGAGCCCCAAAGTTCCTTTTCAGGAAGTTGTTAGTAAAGAAAACGATGGGGTTGACCATGGCCAGACCCCCGTCCTTTCTGGCCAGGTAAGTGACCTCTCTTTTGATTAGGTTCACCCGTTCTCTGAACGTCAGTTTCCACCTGTGGCTCTCCTCCACCTTGCTAGAAGCTATGGCAAGCCGTTCGGTCCAGTTCCTGAGAGCCAGATCCCCTGGTCCGAACACCACCCCCAAGATCTTAATTTCAGGCTGGGCCCTCGGGAAACCGTCTGGAAGAGGGAACTGGTCCCCCTCCTTCCCGCACCAGAAAACTACACTCTTGTCCCTGTTGACACGAGAGGCTGAAGCGGCAGAATACGCTAGGATTAAATCATCCACCTCCGTGGCCTCCCGAGTATTGGAGACCACTATGGAGATGTCATCAGCGTAGGCAACAACCCGTAAAGGCCTCTCCGGAGCCCTGGCCACTCCCTGTAACGTGCCTGCCTCGACCCATCGGATGAAGGGATCGACTGCAAACACGTACAAGAGTGGGCTGAGAGGACAGCCTTGCCTGACCCCGGATCGGATCCTAAACGTCCTGCCCCTCCACAAGAGCGAAGCTTTCGGCCCCTCTGTACAAGGTGATTATCCAATTGACGAATTTTCCCGGCAAGCCATACTTCCGCAAGACTGACCACAGATAACGGTGATCTACTCGATCAAAAGCTTTGGACTGATCAAGTGCCAGAAGGTATATCCCCCTTTCTCCGTCCCTGCACTTCTCGAGGGCTTCCCTGACTTCAAAAACGTCATCAAAGACAGTTCTGCCCTTGATTGAACAGTACTGGGAGGTGGATAGGACACGCCTCGCTAGGCCCTGTACTCGTTTCATCAAAATCTTTGCCAGGACCTTCCTGTCGACATTTAACAGGGATATGGGGCGCCAGTTCCCCACATCCGCTGTGTCGAGCACGCTCGGCTTGGACAGCAAGATCAGGGCAGAAGTCCTCATCGAGGGTGGCAATAATCCTTGAGCCAAGCTCTCATTAAACACCTCGGTCAGATGAGGGGCCAAGAGGTCGCAGGACTGTTGGTAAAACTCGGCCGTCAGACCATCAGGACCTGGCGACTTACACTTGTTCTGCTGTTGGATACTCTCTGTGACCTCTTCTATGGTGATCTCGCTGACCAACTCGTCAAAAGAGAGGTCGCTATGCTCAGGGAGCGTGAGCTCGCTCAAGAAGTCATCTACCCTTCTCCCGTGGGAGGTTCCCTCCTCGCTACATTGGGGGCTGCCCTTTCCGAGGAGGTCAATGTAGTAGTCGCGGACCACCTTCCGAATCCCGCGAGGAGACTCCTCTAGGGTCCCGTCGGTGCCCCGCAGACTAGGGATGGACTTGGTACCTTCCTTCCGCTTGCAGCTAAGATAAGGATCGGGCGAGCGGTATGACCCATGATCCCTCTCTTTTACAAGGGAGGCGTACCTGTCATACTGATAACTCCTCATCAGGTTTTTAACTGCCGCAATGTCCTCGGGGTCACCTCCCTGCGAGATCAGGATGTCTAACCTCCCAAGCAAGCCTAGATACATCTTGTACCTGGAGGACTGCATGTTCCGGGCGAGATTGTGAAACAGCCGTTGAGTTCTGGCCTTCACCATCTCCCACCACTCAGACTTCGTTTGGCCTAAGTCGGCCAATGTCATCTGATCGTGAAAGAATTCCATGAAGGCTTGCTGAACCCTCTGTTCCACCAGGAGGTCTGAATTTAGCCACCAGATCCCTCTACCCTTAGGTGGGGAACTATAGACGTTCAACTCGCAAGACAAAATGTGATGGTCGGAGAACTCCACCGGTGTAAGCACGGGTGCCGCCACCGGGAAATTCTCCTTAAAGAAAAACCTATCTATCCTACTCTGACAGCTACCTCTGTGATAAGTGTACCCACCCGTGGGATCGGGAGTGTGATGAAGGTACACATCGACCAATCCAGCCTGACTAACCATCTTATTTAAAAAATAGGAGTCATACCCCAGCCTCTGAGTGGCGTCTCTCCTGTCTTGAGGCCTAGTTATGGTGTTAAAGTCACCGCCAAACAGGATTTGCTGGGATGTATAAAGGTATTGCTCTATCTCAATAAACAGGCGCTTCCTCTCCCACTTAGATTGGGGGCCATAGATATTAATTATCCTGAAAGGTTGCCTGCCCATTGAGACATCTAAAACCACACACCGTCCTTTTTGCAACTCAATAACCCTGTTGATGCTAACATCAACTTCCTTAAATAGGATGGCGATTCCCCCATATCTCTCTGTAGCTAGAGAGAAGTAGGAGGGCCCCCATCTCCAGTCCCGCTTTGCAGCGTGCAGGGCCGCGAGGGTTTCCAGCCGGGTCTCCTGTACGAAGATGACATTGTACGGAGCCCGGCTGAGGTGGTCGTAAACCAAAAAGCGGGCCCTGCTGGACTTAATGCTGTTTACATTCACCGTAGCCACAGAGAGTACAGGAAAAGTCGCCATAAGGGCATTAAGTATAAGGAGACTTTCCCTTCCTTCTGCGGTACCCCTCCTCCTCTGTGTCGGAACCGAGGAACCTCTTCACTGAGACTCCGGGATACAGTTGCCCACCTCAACCCCTGCCACCACCCCGGGGAGGTTCGCCATCTCCTCCTCGTACTCACAGTCGGCCCAGCTGGAGGACAGTGCCTCGTACCTGTTAGATACGGGCACCGGGGCCTCCTGCAAGCCCGAAGAGGAGGATGACGCCTGTGCCACACCACCCTTTCGGGGGTTTCGCCGCAGGGGGTATGGCGATCTTCCGGGGTGAGGGCAGCGTCGAGGTCTTGGAGGGGGGGGGGGTTTCTTACCTCTCACCGTGCTCCACTCTAGGGACTGTGCATCTAAGGGACGTGCATCTGGGGATTTTTCAGTGGGGGTAACCTTCACCGTGGAGAATTTAGGATGGGGGACCTAGGGGGAGGGGGTCTAGGGGGAGCCATAATGGCTGTGGAGGTAGTGCGTTCTCTATATACACTTTTCGTGAGGGGACGTGAACTTGTGGCCTTCCCAGGGTCCTGAGATGTTACAGAGACCGAGGGGAGGATGGGTTGTTGCTGGGGCAGGGAAACCCTTGTGCCAGAGATGGGCCTTGTAGATGATGATGCTACCTGAACCCCTAACCCTGCAGAGTCCATCTCCACTGGCTCCTGACTCCAGATGGACTCTACATTGTGCTGGGCTTCGGGGGAGGTGCGGTACGTGTGACCCATCTCTGAACACAGATGACACCGGATCTCCCTGCAGCTGTCCCGGAGGTGCCCCACAGCGCCGCACATAGTGCATTTGAGGACCAGGGTAAAAACAGGATACCCGGTCAGCCCCGATGAAAAAACTATTATTAGGCATATGCTGTGTGACACCTCGAATCTCCCGCAGCAACACTGAAACAGTCCATCCGCCTGTCCAAATCCCATCCTCATCTAAGATCTTAACAGGGGGGGATTTAACATCCCCAAACCTCTTAGTCCAAACAAGGATGTCTGCTATGGGGATGGATTCATTTCTCACCAGGAAAGTGACCTTCTTAAGACCCTGGCGAGAAATGGCCACAGCGGTGAATCCTGCTCACTTTGTACCCTGTGCAGACCTGGCCGCTTCCCACCCAGCCCAGAAGCGATCCAGGAGCTGCGACGTCATAAAGGAGACGTCGAACTCCCGGGTGCCCGAGGCATGGATGAGCGCGTACAGGTCCACGGGCACAAATCCCATATCCTTTAGCCGGGTCACCAGCCACCGTCTGTCAGGCACCTGGGTCTCACCCCCACAGATGAGCCGTACCACGTTCCTCCTGTTCCCAAAGGAAACCTGAGGACGTGTAGCAGGCCCGTCCGCAGAGAGGCGAGGTGGCCCAGATGCCCAAGCATTGGGCCCACCGGGACCCGCCGTCTGGGAATGATTCGGACGGACTCCCCTCGCTGAACCAGAGGCCTCGGTCACACCAGAACCCTGGGTGACAACCTGGGAGTGCCTAAGGGGAACCCGTGTACCTGCTTGTGCGTCTAAACTATTTATAACCGCTGCACCCTTTGTCAGGGTGCCTGTGCCCGTGCTCGTGCCCGCCACCTGTGTACCAACTAACTCCAGTGAACCAGGGGCAGGGGCAACATAACCTGAGGCGGGGGCAACATAACCAGGGGCAGGGGAAACAGTACCAGGGGCAGGGGCAATAGTACCGGGGGCGGGGGCAATAGTACCGGGGGCGGGGGCAACATAACCAGAGGCAGGGGCAACACCACCAGGGGCAGGGGCAACAACACCAGGGGCAATAGTACCGGGGGCAGGGGCAACAACACCAGGGGCAGGGGCAACAACACCAGGGGCAGGGGCAACAACACCAGGGGCAGGGGCAACAACACCAGGGGCAGGGGCAACATCATTAATACAAACAGGCTGGCTGTGGACCTTTTTACTAAGGCCAATAGGTCCCATCATTACATTTACAGTTACATCCATACTCCCATCCTCTTCAGCCATCCCTAAACCACCAGTGGAGTCAAACACAATGTTAGTCATACTTTTCTTACCTCCACTGGTGGTTTCCTCAGTATGGACTGCTGGCTGAGGATGATGGGAGTCCCCTGCAGTCCTGTCTTCCATAGCGCCAGCGGCACCCCGCGGCACCCGGGGCACCAGGAACAACAGGGGGACTGGTTACACATGCAGACATAAGGAGAATACATAGGGAAGCAGGGGGAACAGACTGGAAGACAAACTTGGACACATCCAGGGAAACAGACTGGGGGACAAACGGGGGAGGAGACTTGCTGGTAGGGGAGAGCAGTCGAGCTTGCTCCAAGGGAGCAGAGGGAAAAGGAGGGCCATCACCCTGCTCCAGACTGCTCCATCCAGTACCATCCTGCCCAGCAGCCGCCTGAGGACAGGAGGCAGAGGTACCAGCCACTCCAGGGGACGCAACCACACGGAGAGGAAGGTCAGAGGGAAGGCAGGTAAGGGAGGGAGTGGGAAGGGAGCAAGGGAAGGACCCCTCCATGGGATCACCGGTACACGCCATAGTACCGGCGGGGATGGTCTCCCTGTCACCATGGAGGGCGGCGGGGGGCCCAGATACTTCCACAGAGGCAGGTTGTGCAGGTTTCTGGGGCATACAGGTGTTGCCACCTGCAGGGTTAGTATCCCTGGCCCCAGGCTTCTGCAAGGCCTGAACATCATCATTGTACATATACTCAGCATTTGAGCACTCACCCTCCTCTGTGGAATCTCCAGACCCCCTGACAGAGGTCTCAGGCTGACGCCGGGCGATGTTTTTCTTTTTCTTCTTTTTGTCCTTTACGGAGCCCTCCCCAAGTTTGTTTCCAAACTTGAGGAGAGACTCCTTAATCAGCCCTCGACCTCTGTCCTGCACTTTCAGCTGCCACTCTTCACCTTTCTCTCCGTCCCACTCCTCTTCACTGTCCTTCTCTCTGGCCTTCCTCTCCGTCTCAGCAGCGCCCCCTGGAGTAGCAAGGGCAGAGGTAGACGGCTCCCCAGGTGAGTGATGGGAGTTGGAATCCAAGTCCTTGCTGGACTCCTCACCTGGGGACATGTCCCTCCTGCCCTCCATAGCCCTCTGCCTCCTGGACCTCGCAGCGTCCTTGGCTCTCTGTTGCAGGATGGCCTGGATGTCTGCTATTTTCTTTTCAGTCTGGAGCAGGGTGTAGGATAGATGCTGCTCCACTAATTTTTTCTCAGCTATAGCGGCCCTCAAAGGACCTCTTTTGTAATTAGAGGTCCTGTTTGATTTTTCCCTCTGCTCCCTTAGCTCTGCCTGGACCCCAGCTAGGCCCGAGTCTGCCTCGGCATGCTGGGCCTTCAGGGACACAAGCAGACCCCGGAGCCTGTCAGAAGGTAGCCCCATAAAGACCCTAGCCTCAACCCCCTCACCCTTTGCAGCTTCAGCATAGGTGAGGGAGGCCTGAGGGGCCTTGCTGGCACTAGCCACCTCAGGGGGGGTCTCAGGGACTACCTCCTCCTCGGTACCCTCTCCCACCTCCAGGGACGGGGGGGGCTGTTCTAGGAAGTGGAGGCCACTGCTGGCAAGTTCATGGCACTCAGCCAGCAGCCCAGAGAGCAGCTGGATATCGCCCTGGTGTGGGCCGTAGCTCCCTGGGGGACCCCCACTTCCCTTTTCCATGCTGTAAGCTTCCTAGACATCCCCCCCGCCAGTTCCTCCAACAGGGAGACCTGGTTTCGTATTTGCCGGGAGAGGGCCTGATGCTCAGTCCAAGACAGGCCCCTGGTATCCGCCTTACCTTCCCCAAAAGCCAGCACTGCCTGCAGCTCGTCCAGCCTGACCTTCCATCCCCAGGCTGGGGAGGAAGGCCCGAGGGCCATGCTTGCCTAGGCCCAGGCAGAGCCCCTTGCTGTAGTAATTCCAAAGCCCAGAAATCGAGCTCCAAAAGCAGCCACAAACGGGTGTGGTCCTGGGAACACACAGATGAAGCACAGAGCAGCTCACTCTCCAGCAGTAACGGCAAACTCCTCCCACTCCAGTGGGAAGGGGAGACAGTAAGCCCCACAACTGTGCAGATGGGACCGTAGTCTCTACACTGCCAGCACAGGGGGTAGGGATGGTCGGTTCTGCACCCCAGCGACAGGGCTCTTTAGCCAAAGGGGAGACAGTCGGTCTCCCCCTCCAGCAGCAGAGATGGGTAACCAAAGGGGAGACAGTCGGTCTCCAGCAGCAGGACTGTGTATCTAAAGGGGAGACAGTCAGTCTCCAGCAGCAGAGCGGTGTATTTAAAGGGGAGACAGTCGGTCTCCCCCTCCAACAACCAGGCTTCCACCAGGCTACCCTCCCAGTAGCGCTGGCAACAGGGCAGAGTGCCGCTGGTCTCTGCCCACGCAGCAACCCACCAAGTCAGCGTACCCGTACCCAGCACAGCCGTGGTGAGGCACCTGGACATGGACAAGCTTCTCCTCTACCCAGGTGCAGTAACCATTTATTGTGGGTGGGCTGTGCTGTTGATTATGTTTTGTGGGTGGGCTGCTGGACTAACAAGGGCACTGACCGGCAGGAGGTCAGATACCCTGTTAGTCTGTTTGGAAAAGGGGAGAGATGTGACGAGACCAATCTCGCCACATTGCATTGGAGAAGCCTGGTTGCTCGCCTGCTGCCTTTGGACTATGGCCCCCTATTAAAAGACTTTATTTTGCCTGCAGAAAAGCTGTATTCGTGCTTTTCTGCCGGTTGTTCGGTAGTTTCAATCTACCGAACAACCGCACGAATGAATAGACCCGAGTAACTTGCATGACAGAGGATGTCCATATATGTTAGAAAGGATTTGAATTCTAGTTGTGGGTCTCATGACCTTCGGAAAGCTATTATTAGTTTAGAGGTGTCTTTTGGAATGTAATGCACTTTGAAAAATATCTTGTGTGTGAGTATAACAGGATTCTGATTCTGAATTCTGAATTTAGAAAGCGCAGTGTCCTGTTTATATCCTGCACAGATGTGTTCTAAAGAAAAGCCTTTGACAGCCAGAACCATTGTTTGCAGGACAGGAAGCACTCGGCACCTTGTTATACAATACGCAAATTTAGCAGCAGACCTTACCCATGCAATGTTGCCATCTAAATATAGATTGGGGCAACAAGAGTCACATCAAGCCTCAGAAATGATAAATGTCCTTGTCACCCCAGATGTTTCTAAAGTATAGGTCTAGTAATGTTCAAACATCCCAGAAAAAAACAGTTTAGGACTACGAGGAGCCATCAGTAATGTGGGGGTTCATGGCATGTCTTAGCAGTAAGATTCCATCTTTCAGTGATTTTCATTATGATGAAATCTTAAATGGAAAACATTATCCTTTTCTGTGACTAGGTAGAGTGAACCCGTGACTATCGAGTGTTGGTATGGTCTTCAGAAATATTAATGTGAAGACATATTCTGAAATTGTCGCAAATCTCAATCCTGTCCTGAATAGAAAAAAATATTATTTTCAAGGATTCATTGAGGGATATCAAATGACTGAGACAATGGCAGTCAGAAGTCACAAGGCATGGATGGAGGTGTTAAGAATGATTGTGCCAGTAGGTGGCACAATCCAAACGTATCTCTTCACTTGAAGTCAGCTGAAGGTGATTCATTATTGCCACACAAAGATGCACATTGTAATGGAATCATTGATGGTTAAGTACAAAAACTATGAATACAGTGGTGTAATAGTGGCACTCTTGGGTTGGGTTGGGTTGGGTTGGGTTGTGTAAAAAAGTGGGTAAATCTTTTCTAATAAACCAATATCAAATATGTTTCCCTTCTACAAATAATGAATTTGTTTTTTGTTGTGCTATTTTTAGCATCACTTTGGATTTAGAATTTTGGCTCTATCACAATGTAAAAAGAGTGCATAACTGAGACACTAACAGGTATTCCATTATTTCTGATTTTGGGGTCCTGTCCTGTCATCCCACTTTAGTTCCCTGGTGTCCAACATCTGACGACACCAGGGAACTGTCTGGGGAGCACAGTGCAAGTGCATCATTTTATGTGCTTGCGTTGTGCAGTGGACACTAGGACTATTCAGGGAGCACCAGGCAGGAACCATTATGGTTGTAGTTAGTGATGTGGTTGATGTCCCTGGCAATGTCCCCTGCGGGCCCGCTCATCACATCAAGATACTGCAGGCTTGTATGTTGGGAGGTATGCACTAATTAATAACAGTTTATCTCCACCATTACAGTGGTGGATTTTTCATGGTGTAGATTTATTGTTTTCACATGAAGGTTCTGATTATACATAAGAATATAATACATGTGCAGTCCCACCATGTATGACAGAAAGTGCCCAAAACTCAGTCACAAGATACGGAAGCTCATAGCTTTCCTATGAGAAGCTTTGGATATGCACAGCCATCACTGCACTTGCACATCAGGTCCCCAATGTTTTTCTGGGAAGATTGGATTGAACAATGGTGGAGGAGACCATGCCTACTCAATGACATCACTGGAGTCAGAAAGGTGAGCAGCGCCAAAACTGAAAATTGGGGGGGCCTGTTAAGAACTAGGGACAGGGGCAATCATACAGGTTTGTATTCCTAACGCAATAGTGTTCCTTTAGGGGGTGTTATTTGGATAATTAGTTATTGCTATGCTCCTTACTCTTAAATAAACCATGGACTAGTCTATTAAAAAAAAGTTATAATAGTGTGGTCTGGTTTTTTATTTACTATCTCCTATTGCTTACCAGACCTATAACCAGGGCTCGAGTCCTGCAGGAACGCATGGGAATGGCGTTCCTGCACTTTTTCCAAAGCAGGAACGCCGTTCCCGTTACCTGTCCTGCAGGACCGGCCCTGGTCCCTGCACAGAGGGGCCAGCACACGCTGTGTTCCCTCTCCAGCTTTAACTCTCGCGAGACCCGCGGCTGTTACCATGGCAACGCTCCGCACAGGCGAGTCTCGCGAGAGTTAGAGCTGGAGAGGGAACACAGTGTGCGATGGCTCCTGTGTGCAGCGGCTGGTTCCCTCCACCGGACCACCAGGCGATCTCCCCCCTCCCTGACAAGGTAAGAAACAGGGAGGGGGGGGATAAAATAAACACATAAAGTAAGAAAAAAATGCTTCCCCTCCCCATCATCCAGCACACACACACCCATCATCCAGCACTCACTCACACACACATCATCCAGCACTCACACACCCATCATCCAGCACTCACACACACACCCATCATCCAGCACTCACACACACACCCATCATCCAGCACTCACACAAACACCCATCATCCAGCACTCACACAAACACCCATCATCCCTTTTACACACAAACACCCATCATCCAGCACACACACAGAAACACACCCATCATCCAGCACACACACACATCATCCAGCACACACACACACACACATCATCCAGCACTCACACACATCATCCAGCACTCACACACATCATCCAGCACACACACACACACACACACATCATCCAGCACACACACACATCATCCAGCACACACACACATCATCCAGCACACACACACACACACACATCATCCAACACACACACACACACATCATCCAGCACACACTCACACATCACACACACACACACCATCCAACACACACACACATCATCCAGCACACACACACATCATCCAGCACTCACACACACGTCATCCAGCACTCACACACACGTCATCCAGCACTCACACACACGTCATCCAGCGCGCACACACTCTTCACTCACTACAAACACACTACATTCACTATACACCCTCTGCATTCACTATACACACTCTGCATTTATTATGCACATTCTGCACTCACTACATTCACTATACACACTCTGCATTCACTACAAACACACTACATACACTGCATTCATTGTACACACTCTGCACTCACTAAAAACACACTGCATTCATTATACACACTCTGCATTCACTATACACACCCTGCACTGCACTATATGCATAGGAGTGTAATTTTTTTTTTTTTAAAGGGGGCGGGGGCGGGAATCTTGGGTGAGTTCCCACACTTTTTTCCCCAGGACTTGACCCCTGCTTATAACATTACATGAAATATATCTGTGGCGGACCACTTGCTATCCTGACACCAAGCCAGCTCGCTAACTATTACCTGCTACCCTGACACCAGCAGCGCTCCAGCCCCTAGCCGCCGCAACTTGGTCGGTGTCTCGCCATCGCTTCCCACTCTGGAACAGGGTCCTGGATCCAGGTTCAAGTGATTAAAACTCTCCTCAAAACCTGGAGCAATTGTCCAGGAACCGCACGGTCACCTCATGCCGAAAACAATTCCATAACATTTGCGGCTAAGTACCACTGAGGTGACTGGGGACCTACGAATACCTCGTGCTGAAGTAAGTTCCATATCTGTCATGGCTAAGTATGGCGGAGGACCATTCGTGGCTTTGGTTCATGCGAACGGCCGACAGGGAACTAGTGTTCGGTTCAGTTCCAAAGATGGGAACGTCCCGAATCAGGGGCACTTAGGGAAAGCTGCTTGGGAAGGCCGGGCAGGTTAACTCCTGAATGGGAACTATGAATACAGCCCATAGGCCTTGGGCAGGAGGCTAGCTAGCTGGCTCCTCCAAGAGCTTGTGGCATAGGCATGTTTGCCACAATATGTCAGCAGTTTGGAATTTTTCAACTGAGATATTTTTGCCTTAATCGTGAAAGTTTTCCACAATCCACTGTTTAGTAAATACATTCCTAAGCTTCCATGAACTATTGAAAGCCAAGAAAGAGTCAAATATAGGTAAATACTGTGTAGACGTCTTAAAACCAAAACCACATCAATCTGCAAATTAGCCCAGAGTCCCCCTTATTTTATATTATTAAGGTGTCACTTTACCTATTTCTTCCCATCGTTTCATGGTCTTTCACAACGGCAGTGAGCTCAGAATTACTATCCAAAGGACCGCCTTTTAGATCCCATTCAAAACCCTGCGAGGAGACAGAAAATAGATCAAGAATGTAATAATCACCTCTGATAACAATCAGCTGTCTAAAGCTGTACAAGTAGCAATGATTCCAGAATCCACTACTCTATACATTTATACACAATTATAATTTAACCTCTGATTGAAAATGAAACCTTTTTTTCATGCAGGCTGCCAGGGGAGGTGTGGCTAGGGCTGCAAAAAACTGAAACAAAGGTGGTTTAACTCCTAAATGGCAGAGAATTGAGCATTGAGACTGCAGGGGCATGTTCTATACACCAAAACTGCTTCATTAAGGTAAAGTTGTTTTGGGGGCTGTACTATCACTTTAAAACAAAAAGACAGAACATGAATATGGGGGCTGAGAATAGTATGGTAAATGTGTGTATTTAAATATATATAGAGAGAGTTTATAGATGCAGTAAACAGCATTCCAGCAGAGATGGTAGCCACAATTGCAGCAAAATATTTCAATGAGGCTCGGGAACCTGGAGCCTGGAACCTGGAGAATGGTCTAAACCATGGGTCGTCAACCTGGTCCCTACCACCCACTAGTGGGCACTTCAGGATTCCAGGTGGGTGGTAGGGATTTCCTAATTTTGAGAGATTGGGTGGGCAGGAGGGCGGGTGCGAGCCATTTGCGGCCCCGGCCCGCGCGGCAAACCACCGTCCAAGGGGTCCATCGGGTGGCCCATGCTGTCAGGGCC